ACAGAAATTTCAGATGATTAACATTAAGGACCTTCTGCAGATTTTTGCCAAAATTAAGGACTTTTAAGGACCAAAAATAGATTGCAAAAAAATTTAAGGATTCTTAAGGACCGTACGAACCCTGTTATTTCATTTCAAGGCACTGGACTTGTCTTGTGAAATCATCTGTTTTATTTTACGTAGCCTTGGGTGTTCTGCAATGTCATCGTATGTGGCCTTCAGCACCAAATTTCCAACACTTTAGAGCCAGTTTGTTCTCATTCCTACTCCATATCAAAGCATTGACTTATTTGGATAAATCATCTGAACAAGGCATGACTTGATCTACTGGCACGTGGACTTGCACAGCTCTGAGTGAGTGGTCTCTATGAGTTGCTTGCTGGGCTGCCTCGAATTTCACAGCATACACCACAGTTGCTCTTTAAATCCTTGACATTTGCCATTCGTAGAATGTTATGTACTTTTGGATCTTCGATGTCATCGATAAATTCTGCAGGAACAGGATTTTCCTTGTTTCTGTCAAGCATTCTGAAAAGGTGACATGAGACAGCCTTTCAACATACATGGCAAGTTCCTGGAGAGTTTCCCTGGGTTTCTGTTGACAGGATTTTAATTGAAGCCTGCTGTAGTCTTTTAAACACTTCTCTCCAAAGCAAAGCTCCAACCAACTGGACAGAGCTTCGAAATCTTTGTTTTCGGGAAGAGTCTGAAGAATATTTGCTGCGTCTGCTCGCTGAGAGGCGACGAGATGACAGGCCTTAGCTTGGAGATCCCATTCATTTGCTTCTGCACTATAGAAAATTATGTCCTATATACTTTCAGTCACTGCTATAGCTATCATCGCCAAACTTTCTACAACTCTTTTCTGGATCCTGGAAAATGTCGACGGCCACTTTTTCAAAAAAGAAAAAGAAGAAGCTAAATTTGGAGATATTAGTTAAAGACTCGGAAAAACGATAATTTTCACCCTCATTTTCCCCAGTGGCAATAGTCTTGCAAGCTGGAGATGAAAAATCTGCTTTATTTCAAAAGTTGTTGCCAATGCTCTCTTTCAAATACTAGAGTTTGTTAATAAAAAATTTCTAAGTTTTACAATAAAATAAAAACAGTACAGTCAAAAGTCGTTGATCCGAACTCGTCGGGACTTCGGCGATTCCAGATTATAGATCATCAGTTTGAATCTGGTAAGATGGCATGCAGAAATTACAAAATAAAAATATGAAACCGTAATTTATGAAATAAAAACATTATCTAAGGTATCAAAATTACAAAAAAAAGCTTAATATTTTTGGTTTACTTTATTAAAATTTCTTTTACGTCGCTGCTCATACATTATGCATAGTCAAATTAGAATTGTAACCAGAAAACCTATTTGATGTGTACTCGTGATATTTATAACGATGGGGAATTTGATTTAAATCATATCAAAGATGGAATCATCAAGATGAAATACTACATTTAGTAAGAATTAAAGCCATAAATAAAACTCTGCCCTGAAGATAAGGATAGTGTTACCAGATCCTTCTAATTCATTGCGCGCCGCGGCGTAAAAGATAAACAAAGTTAACAACATTAAGTTTAATACAAATCCATTTTTTTCATTTGTGCGTGTGTAGAATTCAGGATACATAAAATTTCGGTACTATTCTGTTTGAGGACCGAAAATCGCCAAACTATTGTTGATGCCAGTGCTGCCAAAATAATTGTGGCAACCCTAATGCAAGAAAGGAAGAATAATAGTAAATAACCATTTAAAGATTATTTAGATAAAATTAATTTCATATAATACTTTTTTATTATTATAATTTATATAAAAAAGGATAAACATGGAAGCATAAAGTAAATAGCTATTTCAAATCATTATTATAATTTTTATTAAAAAATATTACTGAATGAATTCCTGCATCGATATTTCACTACTGAGTTATCGCTAAAGCATAATTTCATCTCATTGCTTATTCAAACATAATTTCCTATAATGAATGGTGCCTTTTCTTTGAAAAAATTGTTGGTAAAGTTCAAAGTCGCCCACTTATTTTTTTGGCGCTTTTTACAAGGGTTAAAAAATTAGATTTTTGTCAATTTTCTTTTAATTTTTAAATGAAAATAGGTCGATGTGTACATAGATAAAGTCAAGGGTGTGCACACTGCCATTTTTGTGCAATTCTGCGATTTTTTTTTTTAAGTGAAAATAGGTTGATGACATGGATACCGAGTATGTGCAATTCTTAAAAGTGCGCCAAGCAGTGGGTGATTCTGCACTTTCCCCAAAATGCTACTGCAGACTTTTCGTCATGGGCAATTCCCAAATTGTTAAAAACCTTGAATATCCAAAGAGGATTTAAAATCAAAAATGGATTTAAAAATTAAACTAGTATTTCAATGGCGTCTTAAGAAATATAGAACTTTCCAAACTTACGCAATTTGAAATCACTACATTTGGCACGCTGTTAAATGGGCACGTTAGATAGATTTGGCATTTTTGCGCATACATTTTTGCTGCAATTTTTTACGGCCCTCAAACCGGAATAGTACCAAAATTTCTATATTCAATCTTATATAATTATTTTTAAAACATTTTTAGAAGTTAAACACCTTTGAATAAAATTACACAATGCTCACTAACAAAACCTGGTTACAAAACTCAATAACCTTTTTCGAACTTCTTTACAAAATTAGGCATTTCCTGATTATAACAGCTCTCAAGACTGAATCAATAATCAACTGAGATATCTCACCATACGCTCTTATACCTTGCTACACATTACACCTCAGTTGATAAGGGATTAAATTTTAAAGGCTACTATAATAATGAAGTTCCAAAAATTATCATTGTTTAAATTACATGTACTGGCCATATATGAAAGCATTATCTAGATAAGTACGCTTTTCTCATCATTATTATCATTTCATATCTAGTACGCTTTTCTCATATTATTATATAATGATTTTGCACCTTTCTCTTTCATTTTACTACATTTGTGTATTCCCCCTCGCCTGTGTAAAAGAATTTTTTTTTTTTTTTTTTTTTTTTTTTTTTTTTTTTTTGTCTGTCAAACATGCAAACAATATATATTTCACATTTTCGAAAGGCTAAAATGTATTTGAAAGCTAAAAATACCTGGTTTCGGCGAATTCCACTTTTCCAGAACATTCAGATTCCTGAGCTGCCAAGCAAGTGGAGTACATTTATGTTACACAGGTCATCTACATTTCTCTTAAATAGGTATAAAATTCAACTGTTTCATAAGGAAAATGTTAAAAAAATTGCATATTTAAAAATTATAGAAAAACTTAGCAAGCACTTCTTTAAAATCACGAAAAAGAAATAATCAAATATAAACACTGAAGATTAAACAATACCGGTAACCAAAAAAAAACAAAGATAAATGCAAGAAATAAACATTCTTCCACATAAAAAGAAAACTATAAATTTCATATTCAATACCAAAATTATGCTACATACTATATTATCCCCTTTAATTCAACTGTGAATTCACCATTTCACTAAAAAATTAGGCATGCTAATAATTTAAAGTACTACGCAAACAAAAAAAAAATTATTATTACCTCCTATATTTCAAAGTATTCCATAATTTACTAATAGTGCTAACAAGATCACTGACGAAATAAAAAAAAACGTATTACTTAACTAACGTGGAGAGGAACAAAAAAGCATCTTTAAATTTATTGTTACCAAACACATCGAATAAGCGAGCTCATTTAATACTCGCTACATCTTTCTGCCCGTAGGGGGGTGGTCTAGTGGACAATTTTCAAATATTCTCCAGCGAACAGTCTTGCTGGCGCCATTTTGGCTCCTTTAAGGACATCTTATGTAAAGCTATTAGAAATACCCTTTAAAGGAGCTTTAGTCTTGTGTTATAGACGAGTTTATGTTTCTATCTTATGTTACAGATCTGGCGGGTAATTTATCTTGCGGATGAAAGTTAGCTTTTCCTTGAGACTCTTAATATTCGCCCTGAGGCGTATTTTTACTAAATTTAGTTACTACGCGCAACTTAATTTGGCGATTTACGAGGTTTTGGTGAAATTGTGTGGCTAGCGCATGCGCAGAGATGAATGAACTATCGTGATGATATGTCGTATTTTGTAGCGTGATACTTGACCCTATAATTGACCCAGCTATTTCGAAGAGCAATGTTGCCAGTTCCAGAATTAAAGCCCAAGGGCACTTGATATAAAGAAATCTGGACGTGGAGAAAATCTCAGATGAGAAAACGTAGAAAAAGGGGAAGAAGATAGTACCAAAAGGAGCAAGAATCCAATCGGATAATTCGCAAACGTGACGAGCGATCATAGCTTCAAAGGAACCCAAAACAATGCAATCATGACAACAATATGAGAAGATACACTACAGCAATAGTTCAATGACAAATTCAAATAAAAAATCTCAATCAATAGTGCTAAATCAACACTTTACAATACAACTATACAACCAATTTAATCAACTATTAAACACAATACGCTATAGCAACTCAACAACAACCTAAGCAACCTATTTACAACACTACTATATCATCACAATGCGAAAAAAAATCTCACAGCATTAAGTTTTATATTCACCAAGAATAATATTCCAGTACAGAAGAACTTCAATCAAAATCAATGCATTGGAAGTATGAACAGCTACCAATTCAGGAGCTAAGTGAAAAAAAGTTGTCGTCTCTCCCATGAAGGTGTGAGCTGCAATGGTCTGACGCTTCTATCTTCGAAGAGAATTTCATAATAAAAACTTAAGAGTAATTAACAAAGTCATTGCCACAGCTTTGTTGAAGAATTTTTCATTAGTTCTTCTGATGTAATCTGGAATCGTCTCAAGGTTTTTAAGTCTCTGTGTAAAATTTTATTGCGGATAAGATAGTGTGAATCATAATAATGCGCAGAAATTTGTTTTGCATTACTTGTAATTGATGCAGTTGAGTTTGAGTGACCGTGTTCCAAGCAGAAGCAGTATAACCAAGTATCGGTCGAATGCAAATTGTATATATATGTTTTTTGGTAGTCAAACAGCTGTGCTTATGTATGGAAGTTGTGTACACACAGCGCCCTCTACATCACCATGCGTTCGTCTGCGCCGATACTTTCCTATATGAAATCTCCTTCTTTTCTTATTCCCTACCTCCCCACCAAATATTGATGGGGAATTCTGAATCACCTTGTATGCTCAACCACCTTACCAGGCTTTAAAGTCCTTACATGGCCTATATATTTCCAGTCGTTGATCGTATTGGTCGTTGTCATGTACTTTCAATTACAAGAGAGTTTCAAATGGCGAAAATATTCATGTTTTAGAATGTCAAATAATAAAAAATTGTGGACAAATAAGTAAGTTTAACTTTTAAGGCCGTGTTCTGGTTCCTATACTTACATTTGGGAAAGTTTTATACTCATTATGATTGTTTATAAGGAGTTCATTATAAAAAAAAGCATTGAAATTTTATATGCACTTTACGTCTTGCATGAGAGGTAAATAATAATTTTCCCTAATTTATTCTGTAAAAAATAAGGTAAATATTTTTTTTAAAAAGCACATATTAGTAAACGTATTATAAAATACGCAGCAAATACCTAGAAACTATAAATAGTAGATACTTTTTACATTATTCAATAATAAAAATGTATAAAAATCTTTAAATACTAATTATAAGGATAGATTATGATAAGAAACATAAGATGAAATTATTTTTAAAAATTATAATCCCTGCTTATTTACAGGCCCAAATATGCAGGGGATGCTCGTTAATTCAAACTCAAAAGTTCTCGGAAAAGAGTTTGAATTATCCAATCTTAAGGGAAAATATAACTTTAAAAGTGTATCATTGAAGAAAAAAAAATCTCCTTGTATATATAACCCCAAAAAATATGCTACATTATCTAAAATTAAACATATTGAAAAGCAATAAAGAGTTAACATGATCATGAAATGAAAAAGAAATCCTTGTTTTTCAAATAAGTTGACAAAATATTTTAAGGACAAGAAATAAATAAAGACTGGTTTTTCTGAAATTCTAAGAAAATTCATGACAAATGATTCTCCAACCTATTCGTAAAGGGTTCTGAGGGAATCCAAGAAAAGTGGCTGGGCCAGGGAGCTTTGTCCATTAAGCACTGACAAGAGGTGGATAGTAAGACAATAGCCACTAATGTGGAGATGTAGTAGTCTAGGAATGCAAACATGTGCCTCTTTACGTACAGGTGATTTTGACACACAAAATAATAAATGCAGTACATATTTTCTCTGTTAGATGGGGGGAAATTGTCAAATTTTTAGTTTAAAAAAATTTAGATCAAATCAATGAGATATTTTTAACGTTAATTCCCATACAATTTTGCTTTTGTATAGCCGAATAACAAGGTTGAATTCTAATTTGGAATATGTCCACTGTTTTAAATTGCAAGATCTAACATCTCATTACTCAAAAGTCGTTATCCGGACTCGGCTTTAAGTTAAGGATATAGAAATTAAATTAAAAAATATGAAACTGTAATTTATGAAATAAAGAGCAATTATGATCTAAAGGGTATCAAAATTTACAAAAAAAAGCTTAATATTTATTTGTTTACTGTGTTAAACATTTCTTTCAATGTAAGTTGTTTAAGTTGGTTTGTTTTTTTGTGCCAATACTTTCTTTTTAATTCTATAAACAGACATAATTTCTTGTTCAGTTACAAAGTTCCACTGCTTCAAGTCCTGTAATTGTTGTGTTGCGAATACCGACTAACTTATCAATCGAAATTTTTTTGTTTTCAATAACCTCTCTGTCACTTTTCGCTTCGCGCGAATAAATGAGGGTAAAAATATTAAAAGGAGAAGGATAATACACTTTGTAAGATTTAACCAATAATAAACATGCCCGAGATAGAAGGCTACACACCCATTCGGCGGCTAAGATAACAGTCAACTAGTTTAGATAAACAAAGGAATGCCTTTATCCATTTTTTGCAGCAATTCCACTTTTTGTTTAATGGACTTCGGAAACATAACTTTCGCATTGTAGATCCTTTACATATTAGTAAATATATATCAGAAATTCTATTTGACATAATCGAAAGTTCAAGCTTACTTTTATAAAATTGCTCTAACAGTCTGCAAAAAATAATAAGCCAAATCCAATTAGAAGATTAAGGAACAACATAATCTACAGCATTAACTGAATTAGATAATTTTAGCTTAACTTATGCTGTCCGTTATACATTAAACGTGCATTCGTAAACGTATTTTGCACACGCATATTCGCAGCCGTAAAGGTCTTACGCACATACGTCAACGCGACGCATGCGCAGAAAGTTTGTAGCTTTGAGGTCCGAATTAACGACTTTTGACTGCATTAATGAAGTATAAATTGGTTAACTTCACCAAAAATTATCTTGATTTGCCTTTAATATTTCACTACTAAAAAATAATAAATACGCATCAAACTGTGCTTGTTCATCATAAAAATTGAAAGTACTTTCACAGTATTTCTATGGATAAATAATAAAGAGGTACACTGTGCACAAAAAAAAAAAAAAAAAAGACTGACGAAATTTTACTTTCATTTTTCATGTTTTGAAAGTGCGATTTATATCTAGAACTGTTTTAGTATGGGTATTTTGACACAAAATCGAACATTTTCTCAAATGACATGCCAGCTTTTCTCCGTATTTTGATTCTACCACTCAAATTTTGTGTAAATCACAGTAGTAGTTTTTTTAAAAATTAGCTATCAAAATCTAAGCTCCTCAATGTTAATTGAATTTAATATATGTTTATTAATATCTCTTTTTTATCAAAGTTACTTGATTCTTTCTTCCAGAATTCAAAATATAGGCTTAATCTAGACATATTTTTAAAAATTTGTATTTTTAAATATTTTTTATAAATTTTTTGAAAAACTTTTGTATTATAACTGATAAAATTTTTTGCATCATAACCGATAAAATTTTTTACATCATCATTAAATAGATGTGCAGAAAGTTAGAGTATTTTATTCAAAATTTCCTAAGATATACGTGAATTTACATTTTGGCACGTTTTGAAATTTGGCATATTTATTATAAGCGATAATAACGAAGATGTGGTTTACGCACTTTGTTGAAATTATTTGAAAGATTGACGGACCTTTTTTCCTTTTGTGCATCAATGATAATAAGGAAAAGTAGTAGGTTACTATAAATTAAGAATTCTGCCAAGTGAATTATTCTTGGCATAAACTGAAAAAAATACACCAAGATAAACTTTTAAATTTCTCACCAAAAATTAAAAAGTTTAATATCTATGCGTAATTTGAGTCGAAGAATTGAAATATGGAAAAAAAATTGATATGTTATTTCCGTAAGAGTCCGATTTGGTGTCAAAATACCTATGTTAGAATAGCGCTGTATATAAATCTAATATGTATCCTAAGTCACACTTTCGAGACATGAAAAACTCAATTTGAATTTCGTCAGTTGGCCCAATAGAACATGAGATACAGAACTGTTTTTTTTTTTTTTTTTTTTTTTTTTTTTTTTCCCCCCCACAGTGTACAATCTTAAAATAATGAATTGCAGCAAAGGTGTTACATTTAATGAATAGTTTACTTATGAAAATGTGCTTGATTAATAAAAATATGAATATTACTAGTAATTACCATAACAAGTGCTTAAATTTAAGCACTTTGTCTTATGAAAGTATACAGTAAAATCATATAAATGTTATGAAATAATATTTAAAAAAGATTTCTTTATTAAAATAAACTTGTACAGACATAAACAAACGTGCTCTTTTCAGGTGGCATGATAAATTATAGCACTAGGTACACCACGCAAAAACAAAAGGGGGGACTATATTTTTCGCTTTACTGGGTCGATAGATCAAATTCAAATTGTGTTTTTCATGTCTCGAAAGCGCAACTTAGGATATATATTAGGTTTATGTATAGCATTGTTCTGTAATAGGTATTCTGACACAAAATCGAATTTTTTCTGAAATGACTTGCCAATTCTTTTCCATATTCCATTCTGCATTTTTTTCAGTTTGGGCCAAGAATAATTCACTTCATGAACTTTTTAATTTATAGCAACCTATTTTCTTTTCCTTTTTTTCTTTGTCCACGTGCTGAAAAAGTCATTTTTCATACTTTCAAGTAATTTTAGCGAAGTGTGTAAACCACATTTTCATTATTGCCAAGTTTCAAAATGTGCCAATATTCTTTGTATCTTTGGAAATTTTGAATAAAAAACCGTAATTTTTTACAGGTGTGCTTAGAAATACATCTATTTTAAGATGATGGCAAAATTTTTATAGCTTATAATTCAAAATTTTTTTTCAAAAAATTTAAAAATACAAATTTTAAAAATAAATCGTAAAAAAATTGGCTAATTTTATTTCGAATGAACCTAAATTTCGAAATATGAAAGGAAGAATGAAATAAGTTTAATAAAATAGGAGATATTGATAAATATATGTCAAATTCAATTAACATTTAAAATTTTGCTAAAATTTTGAGAGCTAATTTTTTAAACACTACTTGTGTGATTTTTACAAAATTTGGCAGTTTGGCATAATTTGAATCATACAGTCAAAATATGTGAAAAAATTTGCATGTCATTTCAGAATAAGTCCGATTTTGTGTCAAAATACCAATGCTTTTCTGGCCTTTATATCTTCATGTACATTTACTTTTCTTATTATCTACTTTTTTATTTTTTGATTTGTTTTTACAAAGTTTGAATTATTTTCTTATATTTTGTAATTTTCTACTGTTTATTTCAACTACTTTGAATTATATTTCATAATGACAATTTCCAATGTTTAATTTTTACAAATAATATTGAACTCAAATGCATAACACGAGGATTCGTCGGGAATGCTTACTGAGCGATATCATTTACTGCAGAAATTGCTTTTCTCTCAAAATTGAATTAGCTAAAATACTTAATCGGAATGAGTTCTTTGGATCTCTGCATTGGTTCTTAATCCCTTCTATTCACGGAAATGTTTGGCCTGACTTAAATTGCCGGTGTGGCATCACCTTATTGCTCGAGTAGAGGACGAAACACCTTTGTATTTATTTCTTAATTATTGTTCATTGAACGGGAGTTGGTTTGTTCCCCTTGAAAAGTCAACTAATTTCAGATCAATGACAATGATTACTTACATTTAATTTAGTTATTGCTTTTAATTTATTCCTTTTACAATTGTTGTTCATCATGATTTAATTCCAGTCCCCGTTAAACATTTTTAACAATTTCCATTCAAGTTACTTAAAAACATCTTTCGAAATAGAACTTACTAAATATGGGTTCACTCTTATCATTCTACTATAATTAATCTTAGGAGATAAGATAATCAATATTATTTAGTAAATAAATTATATTAGAACAATGTTATAAATCTAATGTGTATTGTTAGTCACGCTTTCGATACATGAAAAATGCCTGAATTTTGTTAATCGGCCCAGTAGAACAAGAGATACAAAATGCTCCCCCTTTTTTTCGCTGTATATTAAGCGCAGTATACGAAGTTATATATCAGATTTTTAGCCAATAGGCATTTGCCCAAGGCTATAATTCATTTTCCATTTGCTGCTCACTATAAATGGCGAATCATTTTAAATCTTGCACCAAAATATTAGAGCCCTGTATTATATTTAAAGAAATTAAATAATGAAAAATTTGCATAAATGTATATATGTTTCTTGCACTATGATAAAACAACGATACCTAGAGCCATCAAATTTTGAATAACAGAAGTTTCCACCTGAATATGGGCATCTGGAAGCCCGAATTTGGAATTTGTTTTATTATCTATTTCATACTTTGTAAAACTTTAACGAACTTTGTATTAACAAACTCAGTTGAACAACATGTTTCGGAAGACTGTGTATTGAAATCTAAAGATATCTTTCAAATTTTTTTATTGCGAAGAATGTTATTAAAATAAAGGTACACTAAACATTAAAAACCCCTTGGTAAAGAAAACTGAAGCCTCAATTTTTTTTTTTTTTTTTTTAAATACTTTAACAAAAAATTCAGAAATTACTTTTACCTGTTTCTGTGGAAATGTGAACAGTTCTATTCCTGAAACAGTAGCAGAAATTTTAAAATTAAAGAATTTTAGCGCAGAAGAAAATATCCACCGGAACTACTAGCTAAAAAATTCTCTACAGGTATGAGCTGTAAAGAATTTCTTAGATCTGTTATAAGGGTATTTTTTTCGATAAATATGCTGGAAAACTTCAGGAAAATTGGTACTATTCCATTATAGTGGTATCAGTTCAGAATGCACCATTTTTTCCCCCACTAGTTGTTGCCAAGTATAAAATTATGAAATAATAATGGATGTTCAAAAGACTAAAAAAAAATATTTCCGTGAAAAGTAAATTTTCATTCATTAAATATCATTCAGTATTGTAGAAAAATTTTCAGTTTTTGAATATGATGCCGCAGAAATTCTATCAAATATGACTCTAAATGGTGTGAGCAGTACTCCGCTGAGGTTAATTTCTCCATTTGGCACTGCCCCACAATCTCTGTATAGTTTGGGCTTTGGGGTCTGTAAAATTATAACTGATTCACAGTGACATGTTCATACCTAGCATTTCTTAGCTCCTCTTTCTTATAACCTTTTCAGTAGTCTGAAGACATAATACTGCCATCTGCGATGTTTTCCCAAATGACAGTCATCAATGCTGTAGCATAACGATCGGGAACGGCAACCAGAAAACATTCTTTGCTTTCCTGGCATAAACCCCTGAATACCCATTGCTCTGGAAGAACACGTCCAATGTTGATTTTTCTTTTTGTGAAAAGACTTTAAAGTAATTCCAATCTATTGTCGTACTAGGACTGATTTCTAATTGAAGTTGGAAAAATTCGGTCAACATCAATTCTTGGCACCAGAGATAGTTAAAAACAGAGGCATTGAGGAAAGAAAGGAGCCTTCAATTCATAGTTTTGATTCTGAATCCTTTTTTTTTTTTTTTTTCACAAGAAGAACATACGTAACAATACCATATGGGAGCTTTCTGCGAGTCAAAAATTAACTTTATCGGATGATTTTGAGAACAAAAACTATTGCTATGAATTATTCCTTTGTTCTGAAAGAATCTTATGGCAGCCTCTTCATGATTAGGTATTTGCGAAATTGTTAAAAGAAAAGAAACAAAAAGTGATGAAATTTCAAACGAGAATTAGAATTTTGGAGCTACGATATTTCAAACATAAATAAAAAATACTCAAAATAACAAGTGATAATATTTCAAATGAAAACAAGAAATCCCAACCCACGATATTTCAAACATTAAATTCTCGAGCTACGATATTTGGTATGTTGTTGTAGCATTTTATTTTTCTATTTGTTTCTTCATTTTTGAGCGATGCCATTCTAACGGAATAGTACTGGGAAATTAAACATCCATGTGAAGATCTGTTAAGCAAGGTAAGTAATGTATAAGTATAATAAAAGAAATCTGAAAAATAATGTATTTGAGAATAAATATTAAGCATTTACCAAGCATTCAAATTTAGAAAAACTAGTTATGCCTTTTAATGATTCTCAGGTATTCGTTTATTATAATACCCATTCCTTACATTAAATTCAATACAGAACATGGAAAATGGTTTAAATAATAAAATGCAGATTCATGATTTTTGTGGGTAAGTCTATAGTATAGCTTTTGTTATGTAATATGGTTTCTTAATTTTGTTTTTCAGTAAGTGAATTTTAGTAATTTGATTTTATTTGTTCGGTTTAAAGTAAGTTAATTTCTTTTTAAACTGTAATTGTTAACTATAGTAGTGTTGATCTTTTTTTTTTTTTTTTAGGCACACCAAAAACAATATTTCAAGTGATGTTTAAATTCTTCTTCTTGTTTGCTTAAGAAATGCGAAATGAATCTTCTGTTGCACTCATCTGTTTAATAATTAAAACTTATGTAATTAATTTTGTGTAACTACAGTACTTACTTTAAAGCACAACATTATGTCAGAAGAATGTTGCAGTGGACACACATCTAGAGTGCCATCGGTGCATCAAACTTTAGATGAAATGGCTTTTGAAAGAGGTATATGGAGTGCAGCAATGGATGGGAATGTTGAAAAATTGAAATATTTTCTTTCTAAAGGAGTTGATCCATCTAGTTGTGATACTTCTGGATACACAGCTTTACATTATGCTGCACGGCATGGGAAAGAAACAGCCTGTAAAATTTTGTTATGTCATAGAGCAAATCCTAATGCTCAAACACATGGAGGAGCCACCCCACTACTCAGGGCAGCATATGTAGGGCATACAAGCATCATCTCTCTTTTGCTTCAGTATAATGCTGACCCTTTTATCTCTGACAGCGATGGAAAAACTCCTCTTCATAAGGCTGCAGAAGGACAGCATTTCGCTGCAGCGAATATATTAGTTACTGTGAGACCTGAACTAAAATCTGTAAAAGATAAGCGAGGACTCACTCCTGTGCAGTACGTTGATGCCAAAAATACAGAACTTTTGAAGTTGTTGTGTGTTTAGTGCAAAGTGCAAAAATTTTTTCTATGTAAATTTAATTTTTTTTTTTTTCGTGTGTGCGTGTGTGTGTGTGTATTGCTTAGTTGCTTTGTAATAATAAAGTTTTGTTATACTTGTCCCCCCCCAAAAAAATCAACTCTACCAAGTTAACGATTTACAGTTTAAAAAGAAATTAACTTACAGTTACTTTAAACTGAACAAATAAAATCGAATTACTAAAATTTAGTTACTGAAGAACAAAATTAAGAAACCATATTACATAACTTTTTAGATAATCCCTTAAAATACTTGAGAAAATATTTACTAAAACTTAATTATGTGTACTTTAAAAAAATTGGTATTCATAAATTTGCTAATCGAGGAGAGAAATTTCAAACTATTATCCTTTTTTCAGTTACATAATAATTTAAAAACAGTATTGAAATTTAAAACAACGTTTTATGGATGCTTCTTAGAAATAAAAATTTTTTGCATCATTGATATAGCACATAGTTTCCTTGCATACTTTTAGTATGAACAATTAATTTCTGAAGTCATGAATAGGCTGAAGCAAGCAAAATAAACAAGGACGAACAAATAAATGAAACTTTCTTGTTCTTCAACTGCTAAAATTGACACGAGTTCTAATTTTTATATACTGGTATTGCTGCTTGTCATAATAAAAGAGAAATCAAAACAAAGTTGGTTTTATCTTTGGTGAATGACATTCGTTCTCTTGTACTTCTCGGAAATTTTGTCATGATGTATTTTTTTAATCATTAAGTATGTATTTATAAAATGGCTTTGAGCTTCAAATGTACATAAATTAACTTCTAAAATTAAAAAATTATAATGTTTAAGGGAATAAAGATTTGTGCAGTCAATCCAAAAGAGATTAATTGCAATTTATTCATCTTTGAATGGTGTTTGTGTGTTATTAACTTATCTAACTAATTTGTTTTCTAAAAAAACATTGGTTAGTATTATAAAAATATTCAATTTCATTTTAAAAATTTTATTATAAAAAATTTGAATGTGAAAGCTTTAATTGTTTTGTGCTATTTTTGATTTACAAATGAATAATAAAATTAGTCAATATAAATTGATATTTTCTATAGTTACATAAGACTAGGATTAGAATTATATACAATAGAAAGCGTTCAAGGGCTATCTGTCTGTGGGAAAGGGCTGCCTTCGTGAAAGACTTTTTTATAGAAATCTAGCTCATAGTCACATTACACGTAGGGATAATCATAAAATCTTCAAAGCAACTGGATTTGAAATTGTGAACTTGGAATGTTCAACTGTTTTTAACATTCAGCCTTTGGGCACATCCCAATAGTTACATAGATTAGGTTACTTGAATATGGCAAAGCACATGCTGTCTAAGGAAGTGATGCCTTTGTGAAGTATTTAAACCTATTTTTATTCATTGACGATTTTCTGTGCTTCACATTCAGAAAAATTCGAAAACCAATCATGTAACCAGCCTGTTCACCTTAGTTTAAATTCAGGCCAAACTACCAGTATTCAGGAATCTTCAACCACTCGGCCACTGGTATGGCTTACAGTTACATGGGAGTTCATTCGACTTTTTCTATGTGTTGCATTTTTTTTTTTTTTTTTTTTTTTTTTTGTGTGTGTGTGTGTGTGTGTGTGTTTTCTGTGTATGCCATTGGAAAATGTATTGTAAATACAAGTCAGTTTCTTTTACGAAGTTTATCACACAGTTATCTATACAAAGAGAAGGAGTAGTCCAATATCGTACGATCATTGTTTACAGGGCTTAATTTCTAAGATTAGAAGTGCCGGAGCCCTATGGAAGACCGTCAGCAAAGAGGAGCAAGAATAAATAAATAAATAAAACGACTATTAAACTCATTAATAATTTTAAAATTAAAGAGTTTATTATTATCAAATTAACTGATGGCTATTTAATTAATGTATATAAATTGTTATTTAATCAATAATATTATATAATTAATAGTTATAATTTAATTGGTAATTATTAGATAATAATTATTATTTATTGAAATAATTAAAGATTAAAGTAAATTAAATAAAATGTAAAGAGATAAACTGAAATTTAATTCGTGATTTTTAATATAATTTTATTGTTAAAATAAAATTTTCAAGATAAAATTTCTACTGAAATTGTTATTCAATTACATAAAAGAAGTGCCGCAGCCTTCTTATTCAGGGCTCCGGTGCGTTCCGACTAGAATTATGATTTATTACAGAAACTAAGAAGCACCGGAGCTGAGACCCGGTGGGCTCCGGTCCATTTTAAGCTCTGATCGTAGGGGGGGGAGTTCTTTTATCATCACAAAAAAAGTAAGTATACTTATAGCTGATGAAAATTCCAGGGCGAAACAGAATGAGGGTATAAGTGGGTGGAAACAAAAAATGAGGGGAATCTTAATGAGAGAGAACGTTTTCTTTGACCTCAGCTCTCTACTGATATAATTATAGCCATCAAGCAGATGTGTGTAAGGGGTAAAATGAGTTCTGAATCTGACTCCTAAGGATGAATGTAAATTTGCTGTTTACGCTTTTCCCCCATTAGTGGATACTGTGGGAAGACCATGTATAGGACGTGCTTCAGCAGTTTATCTCAGTATTTCACTCTTATTGTACTTGCTGTCATTTAACTCACATTTAAGAACACAAATTTTCCTTCCTGCGAGGATAACTAACTATAAGCATCGATAATAATACACTTGATACGATGGCATGGCGAGAATTTCCGTATTCCTAAACAAACTCCCCCAAATTTATTGCTTTTGTTAAAGGGAAAGGTTTTTGCATGTGAGTGAAGGGACTTTACTTGAACGTCTCATGTTCTCATGAGTTCATATTTCTAGGGAAATAGAGTATTGCAAGATCTGCTTGTTCTTAAACTCAAACGTTAGGAATTTAAAAATTTTCCGCTTTAAATTGTGGTTCAGTTTCATAAAGAGAAGTACCGGAGCTCATCTTATTTAGGGCTCCGGTGCGCTCTGGCTAAAATTGTAATTTATTTTAAAAATTGAGAAGCACCGGAGCCGGGCTCCGGTGGACTCCGGCGCAATTTAAGCACTGATTGTTTATCTACTTACAGTTTCTAATTAGTGAAATAGCGTTTATTGCTTTTATACTATAAAATCTTAGGGTCCCTTTATATGTTCACAAATTTCTAATGTTATATTAAGAAATAGTAAAATTTTAAAAGATTTTTCCCTATTTTTTTATTTATTTTAAGTTCAATAAAATGTAATTTAAAATTAGTCAAATTAATACCTTGGGGTATAAATTTTTTAATTATTGTGTAAAGTTTAATTTATTTTGCAAAGTCATTAGGTTTTTTTTTTATTTATGCTAGAAAACTGGAGAAATCCACAACGCCCTCGCTGGGATTCGAACTACGGATCTCCCAAATACGTGTCGAGTGTGCTTCCTGTTACACTACGAAGGCATGTGGAAAGACAGGAGAAAACACCTTGTATATTCCCCTTTTCAAAGGGCAAATGGGGATGAGGGGACCCAATCGTCAAATCCTGGTGGTGACAAATTATCGTCCACCACGTTTTAGTTCCAGCACCACTGTAGCGTCATTAGGTTTTTATTGCTTAGGAAACTGAAGAAATCCGCATTGCCCTCGCCGGGATTCCTTTCGAATACACGTCGAATATACTTACAGTTACACCCTGAAAGCATGCAGAAAGAGAAAATATCTTATTTTTAAGAAGTCATTTTGTAAATCATGCATGGAAAAAAAAGCTCTTAACTGCAATATTTAATATATGTAATTTAGGTTATGATACATGTTATAATGACAAATGATTTGCATCAGCAATTTTATAAATTAATAATTGTAGTGAGTATACTTTTACAGGAAGGAGCATAGTGAAAATGGCATTTACCTATACCTGTGAAAAATTTCATTCTTAATAATTAAGACTTTCAGCTATGAAAAATAATTATGTATTTGATAAATTTGATATGAAATTTTCTTATCGACTGAAGAATTGTCTCTGTATCATTGCAGTGATCAAGAAATTAAGACCTCTAAAGGGAAACTAAAGTTTTTTTATGTTGATATAATATGTTTTATTGAATTTTGCATATCTTTGTTGATGTTCATTTGCGGCTTTCTAAAAAACTTTTAATCATTAAAGTATTGTTTGCTGAATTCCAATTTATCATTCATTGGCAATCATTTTATGCATACAAATTCCAAAGGGGGGGAACTAATAATATAAAGGAGGTATTTTAAATAAATTTAATGATTTCGATTTTCTTTGAGATCTTATGTATGTGTTTCATTGATTCAGTGGAGCATATTGATTGTTGAAGTTTCAACCAGGTAGAAGTTTTATAGGAAGAAGGAAATAGTAAGAGATTTGGCTTCGATATATAGCTGATTGCAGCAAAATATGCGAAGATTGTATTTTAAACAACAGTATCTTTGAAAACAATTAAGATGGCCATGCAAGACTGAAAGAGGGAAAACATAGCTAAATAAAATAAAGTATTTTAATAACTTCAAGATGTCATTTGACGACGGTGTTTATGTTTCTGAATGTCCTCAGTGGTACTAGCCCACAGTAATTCTTCACTGACACCTGTTTGCTTTGAGGCAGAGATCGATAGAAACGTGATACAGTCAAAAGTCGTTAATTCGGACACCCATAATTCGGAATGATCTATAATCCGGACCTCAAAGCTAAAAACTTTCTGCGCATGCTCCGCGTTGGCGCAAGCGCAGAATACGTTTTTCACGTGCGCGTTTTATGTATAACGGACGGTGTAAGCTAAAATTATCTAATTATCTATTTCAGTTAATGTTGATGATTGCGTTGTTCCTTAATTTTCGAATTGGATCCGGCTTATTATTTTTTGCAGACTGTAAGAGCAATACTAAAAAAGTAAACTGAACTTTCGATTATGTCAATAGAATTTTTGATTCTGGAGCTCCCAAAGGATCGTACAAAACGAAAGTATGTTTCGATGTCCATCAACAAAAAAGTGGAATTGCTGAAAAAAAAATGGATAAAGACATGAAGAAGTGACAGAGAGGTTATTGAAAACAAAAAATTTCGATTGACAAGTTAGTCGGTATTCTCGGCACAGCAATTACGGGACTTGAACAGTGGAACTTTGTAACTGAACTGAACAAAATTATGTCTGTTTATAGAATTAAAAAGAAAGTATTGGCACAAAAACGAAACAACTTACATTGAAAGAAATGTTTAATAAAGTAAACAAATAAATATTAAGCTTTTTTTTTTTTTTTTTTGTAAATTTTGATACCCTTTAGATCATAATTGCTCTTTATTTCATAAATTACAGTTTCATATTTTTAATTGTAGAATTTCTGTATGCATCTTACCAGATTTAAACTGATGATCTATAATCCGGAAAAATCGATAATCCGGAATCGCCGAAGTCCCGACGAGTCCGGATTAATGACTTTTGACTGTACTAGTTGTTCCCATTCAAATTCTAGCTTCTCTCACAATGATCCAACAATTTCAGCTGCGTTTTAGAAAGTTCTTTTATTGAAATAATAACAGCGTTTGAAAGTTCCGTATTATAAGTAATCAAATAAGGAATAAACAAACACATAGCATATTATTCCCCCTGTATTTCTTCCTTAGCTCGATAGTTACCGGTAAGGTGGAACAGTGGCATAAATAAGGGTATGCAAGGAATGCCGTCGCATAGGGGCCCGAAGGCTTAGGGGGGCCCTTAAATGTCCTGCTGAACTACATTTACATGTTTAAACTTAAAAGGCGGATTCCATTACATATATATAGAAGCTTTAATTCATTTTCCCATCATGAATTCGGAATTAGAATTTCAATAAAAGAAGATATTAATTATTATTTTTATATGTTTTATCTTGTATTTTTTTCCCTTTTGCTTTTCATTTTTGTTTT